CTAAAAGCCAAAACATAAAAAAAAAGGCGAGCGAAAAAATTGTTCAATTAAATTGCTGTTAATTTTCTGCTAAACATTTACAATGTCGGCAATTCGAGCGAATGTATGTACATATATCTCAGAAACTTGTTCTCGACGTTTGCCATTTATTGAATTTTGTTTAAATTTTTTTTGTTTTTTTGTCGGTTTTGTTTTTCTGTGCTGGCAACAGCCTTCGCCAAAAAACAAAATGAAAGCCTAAGCGCAGACCGAGAGACAAATGACCGTACAAAATGTAGATAGAAAGAACTACTAAAAAATAAAAACAAAATAAATAAATAAAAATTGGCATCAAGTCGATAATTTATTTAGTCGCAAAGCCTAGGCAGATGAGCATGTCAATGAAATGTTCATCAAAACGTGCATAAATCCGTTTAGATCATAATAAAAAGTGCCCAAAATTTAAAAATAAAATAATTTAACAAGATTTGCACTAAAATTTCTATATCTATGACGTTTTTTGGGCAACAAAACAAAGAAATAAATTTTTAAAAATGTTCCAAAGATTTTATTTGCGAAAAATGTTGTGTTTTTCGTGTTTCGATTTCAGTGTTTCAAAAAATAATTTCCAATTGTTTTCAATGCAAATAACGTGAGGCTTTAACAATCGCATCGTTTTGAAAAACTAAATATGTAAAACAAATTTTCGTTTTTTAAACTTGTTTTGCAAAAAGAAAAAGTAGAGAGAGATTTTTGTGTTTTAATTCCAAGCTTTTGAAAAATATTAATAAAACAAATTTCAGAAGTTGCGAAAAATGTTGCGATTTTCGTGTTTCAATTCCAAAGTGTTTCAAGCTGCGCAAGGCTGGAAAGCTGAATTTATAACGAACTGGTTCGAATTCGAAATTTTAATTGATTTTGAATCATAATCCAAACCAGTTACCCAAGAAACAGCCAAACCCAAACGAGTTACAGGAAAATCATAAGTGTAAAAGGTTTTCTTTTTCGAACTATGCTCTTGGCTCAAACCTAAGCCTTTCGGCTCAAAGCTAATGTTAAGATCAATATTAATTTTAATACAAATATCATTAAAAGCGTTAGATAGAAAACAATATTAGTTTTGTTTTTATGCATAGGTAATGCGATTTCAGATTTCAACTCTATAAAAAAAAAAAAACATTTCTTATCGCCAGGTTTTCTTTCTACGCAAGCAGGTAATCAGCTTGCCGATAGACGACAAATCAAGTGCCTGGCATGGTGTTTATCATTGTTGTAGATCAAATTCTGGGAGAATACCCAAAAAAATAGAAAGAAACAAAAACAAGCAAAACAAATTATGTGCGAGTAAGGATGGGTAATTATTTATTTAACAAAATAGCATCCAACATTTGCTGGCAAATATTTTATTGATGTGCTTGGAATTGTTTCCGCAACAGCAAGTGACATTTAAGCTAAATGCAGCGATTAGCATTAATATTTATTTTTCTGTTTTTCTACTGTTTTTTTTTTTTCTCTGTTTGTGTTTGTTCTTTGTTGATTTGCTTTATGCTCGTTTTTTCCTTGCTTTGCTTTAGTTTGCTTTTCTTTGCTGGAATTGCATTAATTAATTACATCGAAATGTGCATTAATTGAGCTCGTGACATTTTTATCATCTTTCATTAGTACTCGAAGTGCTATACAAACTTATAAATATACATACTTACATATATATACCATATGTATATATATATATATATATATATTTACAATATATGTGCGCATTAAAGCCTCTGCAGCAAACTGCTGAATATGCATTTCCACAAAATATTTAATAAAAAATTTTGCATTTTATTGTCGCATTCCTTTCCTTTTGGCCGCTGTGAACAATTTTCTATAACTAAACCAAATTTTCCAGATATATTAAATATTTATCTCATAAATGAAATTGTTAAATAAAACAATTTGTTTTTTTGTTTAATGAGGCTCTGCCTCACCTATTTTCCTACTTAATTATAACCTTCTCCGACCCCATTATATACATTCTTGATCAGTCAATCATCAATAGCCCAGTCGATCTAGCCATAACCGTCCGTCCGTCTGCCCATCCGTCCGTATGTATGTTTGTTGCTGATAATCGATAGCCTGAGCCGATTGCAAGCAATCGATAAAAATCGATATGTAAATCCTGTTTTTTGAGCAAATCTCTTCGGCTTTAAATGATAGAATCACCAAATTTGACATATAGCTTCCTATATATATAAATCGAGAATCTATAATTTTAAACCTATCACCTCAAATAGATATATTAATTGGAACTAGCTAACGAGAGTAGAAGAGGGTATTCAGGGTATACAGTAGTCGGGCATCCCCGACTGGAGATTTTTAGATGAATACTAAAAACAGATTTTAATTTGTCTTTTAATCTTTTCTGTTTGCTAGCCCACAATACTTTAATATCATCTATAAATGGATACTTGGATAACAACTTTTTATTTGCCTTCATTTATATCCAAAATCTATTCTTTATTGAACTTACTTTAATGCCATCTAAAAATCACGCGCCTCTGAAATTTGAATAAAAGTTAATTTGTATAAATGTAACTCATTTCCCATCGCAATTTTCGAATCTTTAACTATACAAAATGCAACATTTGAGTTTTGTATTAAGCAATGCAAATGCTAGAGTTTTGAATAAGCTAAATTTGCATATTGTCTGACTCTCTTTTATTTATATTTTTCGTAAAGTGACAACGATGACATCACATGCTACGAGTTATTACACCTTTGAAAGGGGAAGAAGTTCAACAACAACAAAAACAATTAAAACTACAGCAAATCTAGCAAGATATAAACAAAGACAAGAGACGACGACGAATTAAAGCAAACAATAACTCTGTGTGTGCGTGTGTGTGTGTGTAGATATACTTATAAGTATTTACACGTACAAGTATATGGAAACAAACACGTTGAACAAATCGTAATCGTTCCAACAATTTATATAGCATTCAGATAGCAGACAAATGGCAGACAAAATGCGAGCCTACAAATGGAGCCGGTAAAAAATACAAAAAAAATAAAAATAAAAAACAAGTTAAGGGAGAATGAGAGAAGAGGCAGAACAGAAACGGGAGAGCTTTTTCGACCAGAGCACAAATCTAAACCGTAACCGATCCGAGCCCAAAACCCGAGTCGTGCGAGAATTGTACGAATCGTCGAATTCGTATCTTATCAGTGATTCTGCTGTTGTCTTTATCGCTGGCAAGGAAAACAATAAATACATATACGAATACGAGTAGAACGAATAACAAAATCAAAGGCAACCATTAAGAACGACAAAACAAAAAAAAACTATTAGCAAACGGCGACAGAACCCAAACGGATATTATTTTAATAAGGTATACCCGATACAAAGAGTGTTAAATTGCGAACATTGTAGTATTTATAGATTCAAGATACAATCCAGATGTTAAAATCAATCCAAATCCTATTACAATCAAAATAAATATCAAGCGGAGGTTTAATATAATTGAAATTGATTCTCTTGCTCTCTCGATAAGAGAACAAATCTCTTCTTAAATGGAACATAAAAACCATTTTACCTAATATTGAATAAAACTAAATAAAATTAGAACTCCTTAGTAACCGCTGCGGTTAGTTAGTCAAACCTAAATTAAACTATGGGAATCCCCATGAATCATATGCATGTACATAAAACTATATTGAAATGCAAGGAAACGTATCAATCTACCCTAGAGAGTGCATTGGTACTCACACCTTAGCATGCACGTGTGCACACATACATGCATGCAATATAAAAATTGCAAAAGTGCAAAAAGTTGGCAACGTCGTCGCCCCACTCAATTGTCAACTGTCAACAATTCGCACTATGATTGAATTGTGCGCGCATCGCTCGCACTGGAAAACGGGGGAAAGAGAACGCGCACAAGAAACGTCAAAAATGCATTGCGCTTGGCAACAAACGTCATTATCGTCATTTATTGCGTTCCGTTATTTCGAGTGCAGCGCCATTCAGACGTTCACTCACACAAATATTTGTGCGCACTTCATTGAATTGGCTTCTTTTCTTTGATTCTTTTTTGATTTGGCAGCCACCCGCACACACACACACACACAGACACACACACGTTCTTGTTTCGCCCCGTGTTTCTTCTTCCTTTCTCTTTCTCTCTCACATTGCATCTGCCAGCCAACACTTGCCGGCAGCATGATCAACCGTTCGTTTTGCTTGATTGGTTATTTGAGTCCTTTTCGCACTGCACGCGAATTGCCGTTGTCGTTGCTGTTGTTGTTTTCTCCTCTTGTTGTTCTTGCTTTTGCTGTTGTTGTTCTTGTTATGATTTTTGTTTGCTTTTACGTTTCTCTTAGTTTTTCAATGCACTTCAATTTTCGCAAGCAAATTAATCTGTTTAATTGAAATAAATCACAGGAAGTGCAATTCACGACATGTGTCTCAAGTTTTACTTCCGTGTTTGCACGAGTTCCCGAATAATAAGACGTATGCCGATATCTAAGGCATAGTCCATAGTCTACCGCATCACGTATTACTGCACCCGTATATATGTAAGTATATCGGAAACAAAGTATTCGGAACATAGATGCAAACAATTATTGTGTTCACTATATAGCATTATTTAGCATGGGCCCCAAGTACCAGGATGCATATCCTTATTAAGAAAATGTAACTCTAATAAATTAGTATTCCTTGAATTTTGTTTTAAGCATAAACTTTTTTTGCAAAAAAAAACGATTGTCCTTTAAAATTGAAATCGAAAATAAGTGTAACCAAATTTATCAAAGACAAAAAAACCAAAATGTATGCAGATGTATCTGTGATGCCAGATCGCCACAATTGCATATTGAATATTCGACGAAGCTCAACAGCCCCTTTTCGGCTAATAAGTATGAAAATTGTTTATCAATTAATTCGAATCTAATTTTTCAACTACTCCACAAATACATGGTATATATGTATATATATAATTGCTACTGATTTGCATACATTTTTCTCGTAGATGACTTACCTTTTTCCCATGGATTGGCCGGCTCAAGATATCCGGTGACAAGCTCCTTATCACTTTCCGGGAATGAGACGCGACGCGGCATCGTTGCTGCATTGAACGAGCTGTCCGAGAATTTGCGCTGCAATAGACTGGGCGCTGTCGAGTAGCCACTGTGGGCTCTGCTGGTGGCCATAACTTCGGTCGATCCGGCCTCGCTGCGGTTTGAGCTGCTCGAATTGGAAGCGAGCGAATCGGTTCTCCATACTGCGCTCTGTTTGGCGCCGTGATAAATTCTTATTTTCTGTTGTTGCTGCGTACGCATCTGAACATCGAATGCTGCTGGCTCTGGCTCTGGCTCTGCCTCAGGCTGGTGCTCGCTGGCAGCGCTAGCGGCAGAGGCAGAGTTAGCGGCAGCGACATCAGCTGTTGTCGCTAATTCAGTGCGCTCTGCCGCAGCTGACAGCGGCAATGGCGTCGGTATATTGTTAGCTGTCACTGTCATTGTTGCTGTTGCTGTTTCTGCTTCTGTTTCTGTTGCTTGACCCTCAGCAGCTGCTGCTGCGACGACGACAGCAGCGTTGGCGGCAACAGCTACAACAACCACAGCGACTGTTTCTTGTTCCGTGGCAACAGCCGCCGCTGATGTTGTTGTTATTGTTGTTGTTGTTGTTGGTTCTATTGTTGCTGTCGCATTTGCAAGGTGCGTTGAAATTGTTGGCTCCGTTCCATTGCCAGTTGTTTCTGCCGGGGCCATAATTGTTGTACTTGTTGTTGCAGTTGTTGTTGTTGTTGGTGTTGACGTTACAGTTGGCGCGGCATTTTCATCAATTTTATGCAACATGGTAACTAGACTATAATTTGTTTCCTTTTTTTTTTTTGATCAATTTGTTACAATCGTTTGTTTAGATTTATTAGTTTTTTATTTTTTTTTTTTTAATTTTTATTTTTTTGTTTGCACACGCACATCAATTAATTTTTACACTCCTCCTTTTGTAGCTTTTTACAAAAACTTGTTTGCGTGTGGCATTTACATTTTTTCGGCAATTTCAAATGCAATGGCCCAACAAATCGAATTTAGACTAAATGTTTAAGTATGTGTAAGAAGTATGTGTATATATGGTTTGGTCAACACTGCGAATAAAAACTTAATGAGACTTTATATACATTTAATTTGATATCATACAAATTTTTTACTTCTAATCAGAACATTACAAGCACCAAAATTTTCCTCTCTAAAACACACAAAAACTTTCCATGTAAAAACTGTTTCAAAACAAAAGTCAAACAAAAAAAAGAAGAAAACATAAGAAAAAAAAAACATCAGCGGCATTGAAATGAGCGCGCGCGTTGCTCTCTCGCTCTCGCGTATCGAAACTCTCGCAACTGAACGAAACGACGACGCAAAAGAGAATGGCGTAAAAACATTACCTAATTGTTGTTATTGTTTTTGTTTTGTTGCTTTTGTTTGATATTTGCGAGAAAAATGGTTTGCTCTCAGTGGGGAGCAGTCGGCGGCGGTTGCGTTGGTAAGTTCGACAGCTCTGCCGCTATTTTGTTATGTTTTTTCCTTCATTAATTCCATGCCATTGTCGTTGTTATTGTTGATATCGTTTTCCCCATGCACATTTTGTATTTTTTTGTTTACCACACCACCAGCAGCTTGCCTTTCTCTCATGGGACGTTGCTCATGTGTGTGTGTATATACATATATAAATATGTGTGTGTGTGCGAATAACACGCGCCCTGTTGCATGCAAAATTCAAATTAAAAGCCAATTGCAATTGGTAATTACAAACTGTCAAGAGGGACGTACAAATGCACACGCTCCTGTTATATTTGTATTTTTTTTTTTTTTTTGGCAATTTGCTTTCAGTATTTGTTTAGAATAAATATAAATTACGTCACATTCTATATCGCTCCCTCACTCACTCCTCTCTCTCTCTCTCTCACATTCGTTGAAGAGTGAACTTTTGAAAAAACACTTTTTATTGTTGGCATTTGTATGCGAACAAAGGATTTTATTACATTTAACTTTTTTTCAGTGCATAGAATTTTGGTTAGATTTTATTCTTTTTTATTTTGATATTTATTTTGTTGCTGGTTTCACACTGGAGTCGACTTTTGCTTAGCTATGGCTTGCATTTGTTTTGGGCGCTGTGTGCGTTTCGTTGTCTCACAGGCCCATGTTATTGTTTTTTGTTACACTTTGGCATTTGGTTGATTTTACTTTGCGCCGCTTTAACACAGATATAAATATATATTTTTTATTGGCGCATTCTTTTGCACATATTTTGATTTGTTACACAATATACATTTCATTCGAAGGGTGGTACGTTGAAGGGAAATAAAATGTACAAAGTAACTGAATCGCATCCGAGCAACAACCAACAACAACCGATCACAAAGACGTTTAAAATGCAAAAGGTAGAAATCGAAAATAATGAGCAGTGGCAAGCAGCAGCAGCAGGAACACGCACTGCTACTGGTCTCTCTCTCTCTCTCTCTTTCTCTCTCTCCCTAGCTGATAGTGATGCGCCTTGCAAATCACGACAAAATTAGTACTTTATTAGAAAACTGATGAAGCTAAAATTTGATAAAGCTTCAAAAATAGCAAATCAACGCGCACGCGACTGAATTACATTGCGAGCGTATACCGTTATTTGAAAGCCACTTAAAAAATGTAATTATATTTTGTCGACCGAAAATATCTCACGACGAGAACACGACACGCGCACAGAGCTAATTTTGACAGCGCGCACAGCGTTGCCAGTATGGTAAAAGCGCAATTTCGCTTCTTATCACAGCTAATATTGCACCGAATTATTTACTCAAATGTGTTTTTATTTAATATTTAATTCTTTGTTACTTGGTTATATACTTCGATTAATATTTTACACTATTCATTGCTAAAACTAACTCACGACTTTGAAATGGCACATCTGGCAGCGCACTAAATGTCGCGCTCTTTTTACGCAGCTCCCCTCCCAACAATAGAATTTAATGCACATAAAAACGAAAATAACATAACTGCCTAAATTGACATTTCGCTAGTCAAATACACTTGCGCGAATATTAACAAGCCAATTTCGGTCATGTTTGAAGGCAACAAATGCTTTGCTGCTCTCTTTTAAGAACTACCACAGAACGACACATAAACGTGTAACAGTAGAGACAAAAACCTTTTTGTTGTCTTGTGTCCTTTATTATTTGCTTAACTGTCGCGTTAACATTTAAGCGCGTTCACATTTTTGCACTTTAGGTTTACTAAAAACAGACTAAAGCGTTTAAAATGTAGCTATTGCCAGAGACTCTGCAGTGTGACCGCAGCCGGTCAATGATAAAATACACACCACATAATTAAAAATTACACCAAGATACCAAAATTTTAATAGTTTTATAAAGATTAAAAAAATTGACACTTATGTGTTGGTTGACAAACCGTTGATTTACAACGAGAAAACTAATGGAATTGCGAGCAACCTTAGCATTTAATCAGTATTTATAAATTTATCGATAGGTCGATTTGTTTTAGAAGTGTGGCAGCACCGACAAGCAGCTGTTGTGACGAAAAGCCAACTCAGCTAATGTGAAGAAATTTTTAATACACAAAAAAAATTTCGCACACAAACTGTATTGTTACTAAAGCCGTGGTTTAGTTTAATTCGATTGTAAACAGTGCCAGAAAAAACAGACAATGCAAAATGCGGCCAACGAACGCAAATGCCCCAACCAATACGCCGTGGAGTGATTTCGCCATTTATCTGACCATAACACTTACACTTTCCCTTTCATGTCTTCCGACGACGTGGGCTTTGTCCGACAAAAGACTGTGCGCTGACGAAAAATGTGAACGTAAGTATTGCGAGCAATGCGGCAACACTAGTACCGGGGCAAAACTACAAAATAAAGCTGAAGAATTAACCCTGACCCTTTTTCTGACTGCGATAAGAAACCACATTTCATAATACTTTGTCTTATTAATTGTTTTCTTCCCAACCTTTCGCAGAGATCATCTCTTTCGGTACGGCTAAAATCAGTTATACGTCTGGAGAAGATGGCATGCTGTCCTTTAAGATTCATTCGCCGGTGCGCATATTGTCCAAGAGCGCTGGCAACAATCCAAATCTGTGGGGCGTGGAGATTAATGGACGTCGCGGCTATGCCAACAAGGAGTTCATCATGGAGAAAAGAATTGTGATTAACGAAAAGGATCTCAAGCATGAAGTGCCAGTAGTTTGGCCACACAAACCAGCAACAGCTGCTGCACCAGCAACAGCTCCCACTGTGGATAGTCCAGCTCAAGACCCACAAGTGCCGCTGGAGCCAGCTGTGCTCAATGCCTCCGAGTCAGCCGATGATATAGCAACAACAACCACCTCGCCGCTGGACACACTAAAGCTAGCAATACTCACTGAGCAGGAGCAAACGAGCAGCAGTGAAACACCATCTCCCATAACACCTGTACAGCCCAATCTTCAGCTGGTCGATGGCACAGAGTTGCCGCTGGAGGCTGTGGTCGCTGTTACAGAACGAACTCAGAACCTTTCCCATGCAGACGCCACAAATAGCGCAACCAAAAACAATGCTGAGCTCGAGGGGAAATCGAAAAGCGATGACACATTCGATTACGCGGCAGATGACGAGGAAATTTACGAGGAAGACGACGACGATGTCGAGGAAACACTTGATAGCCAAGTCAACGATATACGAAACGAAACAGAAGCCGATAACAAAGCAAATGCTGCAGCCCCTCAACAGGCCAAAACACCTGAGCCAGAGGCGGACGCTCGGCAAACGAATGCCTCAGACGCAGATAAGGAAAAGCATGCAGCCCCAGCTGGTAACGAAAGCCAAGACGCTGGGGCCCATCCGGACGTTATTCCTAAGGCAACTCCAGCTGCGCTGCTTATAGAAACGCGCAATGTCAGCGCTGTGCCCGCGGAGGAGCAGCTGAAGCTGGAGGCAACAGTTGAGCACCCTGCACCAGGAGCAGGACTTGATGCAGAGCTGCCCAAAGAGGAAACGAAAGCTCAGCTAATGTCGGGTCCAGTCGCAGAGCCCAAGCCTCAAGAAGCAATCGCAGCGGTAGATCAGGCTCAGGCGATAAGCGAGCAGCTTGAAAAGGATAACCAATTAAACGAAGCCAGCTCAACTGCAGCAGAAGAATCCAGCAAGGCTCAAGTTGAAGGCGAAGTTAAAGCGCAGCCGGATCCCACTGTAGCAGAACCAACACAAGAGCCGAAGGCAGCGCAGTCAAATGAAACTGAATCCGTTAAGGTGCAAACCGAAGCAGCCAATGTCGAGGAACCAAGTGCGCCAACTGCAGCACTAGAGACAGCAGCTGTAGTCGATGCAATCCAAAACGAAGCGCAGGCAAAAGTAGACGGAGCACAGACATTGAATGATGTGGCTAACTCGAAGGTCACGCCCACCGAGGACCCGGTTGTGCCGGCCAGCTTGCCTCCATTGTTCAAAAAGCAGCATTTCCAGCATAATCCAAATGAATACTACAAACAGCTGCAGGAACAACAGCAGCAGCAGCAGCAGGAGCAAAAGCAAAAGGAGCAACAGCAAGACCAGCAACAAGAGCAACTACAGCTGCAGGAACAGCAGAAGCAGCAGCAGGAAGAGTTGCTGGAACAGCAAAAGCAGCAGCAGAAAGAACAACAGCAGAAGGAGAAGCAGCAGCAGAAAAAGCTGCTGGAAGAGCAGAAGCAGCAGCAGGAAGAGCTGCTGAAACAACAAAAGCGACAGCAGGAAGAGAAGCGACAGCAGGAAGAGCAACAGCGGAAGGAGCAGCTGCAGCAGCAGGAGGAGCTGCTGAAACAGCAGAAGCAGCAGCAAGAAGAGCAACAGCAAAAGGAGCAGCAGCAACTAGAAGAGCAGGAGCGACAACAGCTGCTGGAACAGCAAAAGCAGGAACAGCAGCAGCTACAACAGCTGCTGGAACAGCAAAAGCAGGAACAGCAGCAGCTACAACAGCTGCTGGAACAGCAGAAGCAGGAAGAGCAACAGCAAAAGGAGAAGCTGCAGGAGCAACTAGCCGAGAACGCTCTGCCGCACACCACGCCCACGCCAGCCGCATTTGATGCATATGATGCAGTTAACGAGGCAGAGCCAACGCCTGCGCCACCAGCTCGCGGCTTGGTTGAGGAAATCATCGCTACCGACGCCGTGGAGCCAATTGGATTGCCAACAGAAACACTCAAGGAAGATGCCGGACTGGGACTGGGTCTCTTTGGCACCATTATGGACACTGTCAACTCTTTCATATCCCATCAAGATCACAAGGAACCAAAAACTGCGCCACTTACAGGCAACGATGAGCTGCATCGTTTGCTCTATCCACAAGGTAAATCTCCGTTTTATAATTATGATATAATTAATTATAGTATTATTATTAATATTAAAGGTGACTACAATTCATTTACTTGAGCAGAACTCCAATAACTACCTGATGCTATATAAGATTGAAGAATTGCTCAGGAAAACAAGAGAGAAACGTTTTCTTCAGAGTTTCTCCCAATATTTAATACTTTTTAAAAGTTTTCTCATGTAAACTCAGCCACAAATAGCTGGAATCAAGTTTCTAAGTTTATAAGAGAAGGCTTCTATAGGATATTAGATTTTATAAGTATATATACTCCGATATTGAGAAGGGCTTAGAACCGAGCAAGTTCCAATATTTAGTTTATTCTGAACCTAGCAGAAATTTCTTTGGTCCCAACAATTGGATACATATCCTACCATGTTTGGTGGACGCCAATTTTGGGTAGAGATCGAAATTTAGCCCGCATCTTGTATGAGAAAATATTTATGTTATGCAATATTTTCTGTCACAACGGGCAAACGTTGAAAAGAAATACGATGTTTTGATGCAGAAACAACTTTGCTAACTTTAATTTTGCTAAGTCCGCAGTTCTGCTTCTATTTCAATTTCTAATTTATATTGATTGAAATTCTTAAAACTAATTATATTTATATGCATACCCACAGCTGATGCTCATGGCGAGGGTTATTGCACGCGGCCCTCGAATGGTAACTGCCATGCTGCCATTACGCTGGACAATTTCGTGGAGGTGTTGGCGGCGAAGCTGTTGGAGCATAGCCTGTTGTTGCTTTGCGTGGTCATTGCGGCTGCCTCGTCGCTGTTCTTTATATTCACCTACTATTGCTTCTGCAACAGCAGCCAGGAGGGTGCGCTGCTCGCCAAGCTGAATCATCTGGAGCGCAGTCTGCTGGCCGCGCACAAGGAGAACCTGATAATAAAGCACGAGCTGATGACAACACGCACGAAGCTCTCGAGCATTGAGGATAACTCTTTTGGCTCCAACGACATGGTTGTTGCACTGAAGAAACAACTCGAGACGGAACTCTATGAGAAGGCCAAGCTGCAGGAGCAGGTTAGCTCTCTGGAGAAGGTGAGGCAAAGGAAAAATATATAGAAAGTTAATACTAACATTATATTTCTTTATGCATCACACAGGATTTGGATAATGCCGCCGAAGCGGGCTTGGAGCTGAACAAAATGCTGTCCGAGGTGTTGAACAGCCAGAATGGCGACGAGGCATTCATGAGCACGGTTGACGAGCTGCAGCGCCAGCTCAACGATCAGGAAAGTGAGTGTTAATAGCATCTGGACAGCCTGTAGACGCATGTAATTCATTTTGCATATTCATTTCTCGCAGAGATCATCATTGACATCAACGCAAGTCTGGCGGAGAAGAGTCGCGAGAATAGCGAGCTGCAATATTCCTATACGGAGTCGACAACGCGCCTGAACAGCGAAATGAAGTCGCTGCAGCAGGATAACTACGAGCTGGAAATGGACAAGTCGAAGCTGCAGACGCGCCTTGAGGAAATCCAAGCGGAGTCCGAGCAGGAGCTAGCCAAGGCTCTAGAGGCGCGCAACTATGAAATGCAGCGGCTGCAGCATCAGATCATGGAACTGAATGCCAAATACGACAAAGAGCACAGCGAACTGCAGACCAGCCTAGCCAAAATCGAGGCGCTCGAAGATTGCCTCAAAGCGATCAAGAAGGACGGCAATACCAATCTTCAAGAACTAATTACATCAGCGAAGACACGCGGCGAACTGAATGCAGCGCAGAAAAAGTTTATGTCGCTGCAAACGAAGCTGGAACAGGAACTGGCCAACAAGGCGCGTCTCGAGAGTCAGCTGCAGGCATCCAGCGCAGACGTCGAACAGCTTAAACAGGACTTCAATCAGTCCGAACGCGATAAACTTGAGGCGCAAACGCGTCTTGAAGTGCTCTCCGGCTATTTCCGCGAAAAGGAAACGCAGCTGCAAAAGTGGGTTACCTAAAATTAACACTAGCTTTTCATAGGGGTGGATTTTACAAAAGAGTGTGAAACACGTATCGATTTCTTTTCGAAGAGTGTGTAAAAGTATTTATAGAAAATGTTTATCAAATGCCTTTTTGCATAGATCTAAAGCCCCATTCTCCTCGTAATACATATCCATAAACTGTATTGTTTTATATACACTATATTGTAATAGAATCTACTTTCCTTTTTCAGAGAGCTCAGCTTGCAGGAGGCCAAGTGGCTGCAGCACCAGGGCGAGAATGCCAGCACTGTGGAGACGCAAACGCTGATGAAGAACGAAATTCAGATGCTGAAGTATGTAAAATATATATTTAGGTTTTCCACATTTGACCATTTATATCTTGCTAGATCTCAAAACGATGAGCTGCGCGCCGAGATTGAGGCACAGATTGCCTCGCACAAGGCACAGATGGGCACGCTGGAAAATCGTGCGCACGAATCCTGGCTGGCGGCGCGTCAGTCCGAGCGTCGCTGCGAGGAGGCGCAGGCCGAAGCCGCCGGCCTGCGGCGCAAGCTAACGGCCATGGCAAGTGGATCGGGCGATGTGTCGCTGGATGCGCTGCCCGCCAACGGCGGCATTTTGGGCGCAAACGAACTGACGACCACGCCATCGCCGTTGCCATTGCCCGGCTCGCCCGGTCTGTTGAGCATGCCCAATCCACTGCCATTCCTGCCGGCGCCGTTTACGCCGTTTATGGGGCTGCCGCCGCCATTTTTGCCACCATCAGTTGCTGCCGGCGGTGCGCGTCCACCGCCGCTGGGCCGCATGCGCTCGCCGCCGCCGACCTCGTCATCGCGCGATCGTTACTCACCGCATCGCGATGACCGCGACGACTACAGCGACTATGATGATTACGACGACGATGATGATGATGATCGCGGCATGGACCGGCACAGGCGACACAGCGGCAGCTGGGGCCGTCGCGGTTCCTATATGCACTCGCCGCGCACATATCGCTCGCTGTCGCCATCGGACAGCCGCTACAATTATAACGATACGGAAACGGATTTCAGTCCGCCGCCGAGCCCTCCGCCACCGCGTAAGAGCTCGCGACCCATCAACGAAGTATGAAATGCGGCACTGTGTACTTTACATAAAGCAAAAAAAAAAGAAGGACACCAACATCCTAAAACATTATGTACGAGTAGTTGCAGAAACTCAAAACTAGTTCAAATCTATGTATATTTATTACTGATCATCGGGTTAACTACGACTAAGAGCGACTCACATACTTATATACACACAATTCCCATAATACGAATTTGAGGCATTTTCAAAATAATAACATCAACAATTTGGTGGCTCAATGGCAAATGATATCAAATGGAAAACTAAAATAAACCAAACATTAAAAACACCAAAATATGTTACACGCGTTATTATTTATATGGGATATCAGAACCTCCTTAAAAGAAAGGTCAGTTTTCTTATCCTCACGGCAAAGTACAAGCTACTTGCAATGAGCTTGACAATTTTTATATATATGTGGCAACGCCAAGTGGACAGCCCATGTCAAACATCTACAATGCAGATGGACAACGTGGTAAGTTTAAGCACTCAGATTAACTGACAATTGCATGGGAAATAGAGTTCAGACTGGGGCTCAACTGTAAATTTAATATTTTATATTTAAACTGAGCCCAAGTCTGCATATTTAGCTGTTATCATGAGAATCGCATAGTGGGGCGTTGATTAATTTTTTAAATACTTCGATTTTTGCAAGGTCAGCTACTATAGAGGATGCACTACCCTACCGTGCACTATGTTAAGTAGAGCAATTTAATAATATCGCCAGGTAAACATGATTATACGATAAGCTTAACAAGGCATTGCTCATAAATTGATTTTGTAATGTGCAGTCGTAAAGCGAATTGTCTATAAAATTGCTGATAATCCAGTTTAATCGATTTCCAATTTTCGAAATGAACCGACTGCACCGAACGAGCTGCATTTATCCAGAGCGGGACTGCTAAAGTCGCGCAGCTTTTCATCGGTGCCAAAGTGCTGCGATGCCAGGAAATATTGTGCGTAGCCGATAAGTTTCCTTTCCATGGCGTGGCTAATGTCCTCGACAAGGCCGTGAGTGCCGCCATATTCCAGAGGCAAATAATCCCGGGGCACAATATTGAATATGGCATCTGGATCGGAACTCACTGAAATCTGCATTAAAACAAAACGAATTGCCGGAATAATTATTATTCTAGAGCTGGAACTGTGACTGCACTTACCCGACTCTTAATCTTAGCCGGAAAGAACGATCGCAATGTATTGAAACCCGTCTCAAAGGCTGGCGGCACATTGATGAAATGTATCCCCTTCTGGCGTGTGGGCATTGCCTCATCGGCATACGCTGAGAATTTACGCAATAGCTCCGGCTGCAGGGCGAACAGATGTGTGCCAGTTACGCCCTTCATGTCCATGATCTCAACGTAACCGGAAACAGTTGCATTTTCATCCTCGAACATCATGATCTCGCCGAACATGGAACCAACGCGTATAATATCCTGAAATTTATATTTGCTGGTATCGTACGATCCGGCGCGTATGATGGACACGCAGGGTCCGGTATCTTCATCGTCTTGCGGTATACGTAGCAAGATGCTGCAAGAGATAGGCGGAAAATATATTTGAGTTTTAAACTGAAGCACAGACAATGTTTCGTTGTGCTGCTAATAAAATTTAAGCGAAAACGAGATAAATTAAATTAACATCAAGTAAATACTTGTAAAAGTACCGTCAATGTTAAAGTGACGCTGTTAACGTTAACGCAGCAGACATCTGTTAAGGAGACACTGTTAATGTTAATAAATCATACAGCTGTTAAGGGGACGCTGTTAACGTTATCGCAGCATTCAGCTGTTAAGTGATAATGTTTATGTTAACAGCTCCTAAAGTGATGCTGTTAATGGTAACAGAGAATACAGCTGTTAAAGAGTCGCTGTCAATGTTAACAGATTGCAAAAGCGCTGCAAGTTTTGTCTTCTTTTCAGTTATATTCAATTCGGAGCAAACAATATACAGGTGTACCTACCCAGAGCGTATAATATCTATGACCAATGGATCCGTTGCCAAACGTCGCTCATTGAATACCTCTGGGATGGATGCTTGCAGCGTATAGAAGCGATCGTATTTCTGTTTGGCACGCTCCAAACTGAATTTGGTGCCGCGCAAAAAGGCCAACAGAAACTGTTGATCGGTGCAGCCCCGCAAATGCGACTGCTTAAGCACCCAATCCCTCAAAGCCTCAATGTCGTCGCCGACCCGATGCGGCACCTCGTTCAGCTCCTGTACGGCAATCGCCTGCAGTGCCGGCTTAAGGGGGCGTATACGTAATGTGCTCATTGCTGTGTTTCATGAAAATGAAAGAGAAATATACAAAAATTTAAGAGCTAACTATTTGAAAGAGTAATATTAGCTAAATTACTAATGCTAAGAATTCCAAAGATTACAATTATTTTAAACAAGAGAATTTCAAAGCATTTTTAAGGCGTTCATGATTATTACACATACGACATGTTGTCCCAAAAAAATGCTGCTAAACTGCCTGTTATCAAATGAATCTATCATTTTTTTAGAATACAAATTAATGCATAAAATTAACAAAGATTCTTTATTTTTAGCAATAAATATTAATATTTATAACATATATTTTTTCTATTAAAAGACAACTCGGCAGCCTGCATCAAATCCTACAAGAACTCACAATATTATATTCCTCTTAAAAAAATATCCATTTTTTTTTAACAATTAATTATGGCATTTACTTTAATAATTTTGCATGTTTTATAACTTTGATAATAAGTAAATCTTGTGGACTTTCATAATTAATTCAATTGGTTTAAATTTGCGTTCTAATTGGAATCCAATAAGCACCCGAACAGTCAATATTAACAAGGCGCCACGCACTTAAACTTGCGCTTAAAATATTTAATTTTATGATAAATGATTTTTTTTAGCTAATCCGGAAGCGCTTAAAATGAATAACACCCACATTATTGATAAATTGCAGCTTTTGATTGAACGTAAATAATTCAGGCGCAGCTGTTTTTTTGTTTCTTCGTTCGCTTCAGTTGCGTTAAACGATTTCCAATTGGATTTTTCCGTTTTTCCAGCTTACAGTTGCGTGTGTTTACCGTTTGAAGACGCAGCGCCGACTGATACGAAATGAATACAAAAAAAAAATGCCAAATCAACGAACTTGGACGTGTTTATAGCCGTTGATCAGAAGCCGATTTAACGGCACACGAAGTATTATTTTTGTTTAATTTGCACCCGTTTTGTTTCTATCATTTATTATTATCGGCAAACACTTAACGAGGTAAGCAGAAATGGTTTATTTAAGTTCGGGGTGCCAGGCGCCGGCGGCCACATGGCATTTGCTGTGGGTGGCTTTTCAACAATTGATTGTCTTAATTGGCTTTGGACTTAGCCACACACACACACACGCACGCACGCACACATATGCATACATGTTACATACACACACACACACACACACAGACGCGCGCTTTTGAGTGCATGCGGCTGCGCCCTTCCTTTAGCTGGATTTTGATTTGCCCCACATTTGCCGAGCACTAGCCAGCTCATACTTAATTATTTAAATGTAATTGGCAGATTTGTGGCTTGTTTCAATTCATTTTGTATTTTATGGATTGGCATAATTAATTGCATGTAGAGATTGTAGAGGTTACTTGAGTACATTTTGCCAATTATGATAGAGAATATCAAATTGATTTATTACTATTTTATTTACTTTGCAAGACATTGTTTGATTTATGTATTTGATGCGATCGATTCGGCACAGGGCTTATTTAACTTTTGATTGGATCGATTTTTGGCTAGAAATAATGTTTAGTTTAATTATCCTTTTTTGGCAGACTTTCTTTTAAAGAAATTTACAAAAGCCAATCGCAATATAAAGATTAATAACTGTTCACAGATATTCGCCTAGGGCGCATTTTTGCATGCAACATTTTTGTTAGTTTCAATTGAAGGCAAAATTCGTTAAGTACAATTTAAAAAAAAAAAAATAAATACAATTTTGGTAATTTTCAAGTTAGCACCGAAAAATACGATAAATACCTGTTGGTATTAACTATTATTTGGTATTTACTGATTCGATAAATGTATTCGATAGCTCGATTTTTGTGCTAATTCGCATAGTGACACAGTGACAGGTAGCAGAAAATATAAAATTTTTTAATAATATTGTACAAGCAAATATTGACCATAAATTTACAACCAAACGAAAAACTATGCAGGTCGCAACAATGTCCAAAGTTGGAGACACCGAGAATCCATTCGCAGCTCTGCTGCAGGATGGCACCCAGGCCAATGGCGTGTCCAAGCAGCTGATCGAATCAATTTTGCTTTTTACACTGAGCAAAGATGCGGACACCAAGCGCAATCGGCCTGTGCTCTGTCTGGCCGATGTCGTTGTGGCCGACAATAGCACCGAGGACACGCTCGGCGAGGATCTGCTGGCGCATGCCCTGTTCGAGCGCCTCATGCTGGAGGAGACCACAAAATACCTAATGCCATCTGGACAGGTCGATCAAAGGCAAGAGGAGCAAGCCCTGGAGACGCGGGCCATCATTTATCTGCACGGTGCATTCACCAGATGGGAGGAGATACAGCGCACTGGCAGCCTACAGGACAAGGAACATAGCAATCGAATTCTTGACTTGATCCTAAACAATGCTAGCACATGCATGCGCCAGCCGGATCTATTTGCACTCCAAACATTCTCAGCGCAGTGGCTGGAGTTGTTTGAGGAGGCGGACGAGCATGATACCAGCACGCAGGAGTTTCTGATTCGTGTGGCAGAAAAGGTGCTCGAAGATGTTGAGCAACTGGAGGCGCTGGGCGCTCTCAAGGCCATATTCTACCCCATGCTAAGTGAATTGCAAAAGCAATTGGTTAAAGATAATTTGATTACAATCAGAAAGAATATATTCTGGATTCTGGGCTTCTTTGTGCGCGAAAAACGCGCCGGCTTACTCGGCGAGTTGCTCATTGACTTCACCACACCCAATCCTAAGGCTAAAGGTAGGTAATCCTAAGCAGACAAATGCGAAATACTCACATTTAAGATTTTCAGGTGGTGAATACATGGATACGCTTTTGGGGCAATTGCTGTGCATGTCCATTATGCCCAAGACTCAAACCGCGCCCTATGAATTCTTCCGCGACATATCGCTGATCTCCCAGCAATCGGATCCCACACTCTGGCAGCTGCTGGCACATCATCAGCAGGCAATGTTTACGCTGGTCAAACAACTGCTCGTACAATCTTCCGCCACCAAGAAGAAGACGCTGCAGTGGATAGCCAACTGTCTGGACGCGAATGTGGCGCGTGGTCATTTGTGGAGCACCATTAACTTGAATCTGGAGCAGACGGTGCACAGCACCGCCAGTGATGCATTTATGACCAGCCTCAGCGCCGTGCTGATGCGTCTGTGTGCGCCGCTCTGCGCGCCCGCCTTAAAGGTACATGACCAGCTAATCTGTGCACTGTGTGTCGCATCATATATTAACGTTGACATTCAATTGCAGGTGCTGCTGGTAGATCCCACATACTGTGCGGTGGCGGACCCGTTGGAACGCCAATCGAAGGGCGTTAACATGCTGAAGGCGTTTGAGGAGACATGCCTACTGCCCACCGAGGAAGGGGAACAGCGCTTGACAGCGGCTAAGTACAATTTTATCACCGAGATCTTCTATTTGGCGCACAAGGCGTTCGAGCTGGGCAATCGGGCGTGCATTGAGCGCTTGACGCGCATGATGCGTGAGCTGCAGAACACACAGACCGCCTACCAGGATGTGGCGGCTAGCGATCCGAACAACGATCTAACCAAGAATCTGTTTCGCATGCTGCAGGATCAGATGCAACAGGTGCTCTGCATAAGAAATGGCCTGGCCGAGCCTGAAAATGATACCGCCATCCTCAAGTTCTTTGAGGCCTCCGCCATTTGGCTCACTGAGATAGCGATGCTGCCGCGCGAATCCTACGAGGCGGGACTGGACAAAAAGGACTTTGCGCCACAGCTGTTGCGCGATCTGGAGCTGTTGTCGGAAACACCGCCCTTTGTGGCGCCATACATGAAATCGGTGCCGGAGAATATTATCGACAACATTGCGGCCTATTTGAATTTCTGTCGCAGCTTTCCCGGCGATCAGTATATACAAATGTACACCAGCTCGCACGATGCTTTCTTCAAGATGATACTATTGTTCATGGGCAGCTCGGGACTGGTCAAGAATCCGCATTTGCGCGCCAAATTGGCTGACGCTCTAGAGTTTCTGCTGCCCACACAAATCTCTGGCAGCAATCGCAAGGCATTCCATACACACGTCTTTGATAGTCACACAGATCGGTTGCAGGTGGTGCGCAGTCTGCTCAACGTGTTCGTCAGCATCGAAATGACCGGTCAGTCGGTGCAGTTTGAGCAGAAGTTCAACTATCGCCGTCCCATGTACGCGATCATGGAGTTTCTGTGGACCAAGGAGGAGCATGTGGAGTGCTTTAGGCAGCTGGCGCAGGACGCCGAACGCAACATGGAGGCCATTGAGCCGCCAATATTTTTGCGCTTCATCAATCTGCTCATCAACGATGCCATCTTCCTGCTGGACGAATCGCTCTCCAATCTGGAACAAATCAAACAGCTGCAGCAGGCTCAAGACAACGGCGAATGGAATAATCTGTCGCACAGCGAGCGTCAACAGCAGACCACCAATCTGCATCATTTGGGCATGTTGGCACGCTTCGATAATATACTGGGCCGTGACACCATCAATCTGCTAAAGCTGCTGACCAGCGAGATCAAGAGCATCTTCTGCCATAACAGCATGGTCGATCGCATTGCGGCCATGCTCAACTATTTTCTATTGCATTTGGTGGGGCCGCAGCGAGAACGCTTCAAGGTGAAGGACAAAAAGGAGTTCGAGTTTGATCCGGCGCAAATGGTGCTGGAGATAGCGCACATCTACATAAATCTAAGTACGGACAATTCGTTCTGCCTGGCCGTATCCCAGGATGGACGCTCCTACAGCGATCAGCTATTCGGCTATGCCGAGAATATATTGATACGTATCGGTGGTGGTCAGCTAATTGGCGACATGGCCGAGTTTGCAGCCAAGGTGCAGAAAATGGGCGATGACTACAAGGAGGAGCAAGAGCTGCTAGCCGATGCGCCCGAAGAGTATCTGGATCCGATTATATCAACGCTCATGACCGATCCCGTGGTGCTGCCCAGCTCGAACGTGACCGTTGATCGTTCCACAATTGCTCGCCACCTGCTCAGCGATCAGACAGATCCATTCAATCGCGAACCCCTCACCATGGACAAGGTCAAATCGAATGAGGCGCTCAAGCTGGAGATTGAGCAATGGATCGAGGGCAAACGCAGTGCGGCGCGTGTCAAGAGCTGAGCAACCAAACCCGGCTAGGACACGCGCATAACCAAAGAATTAGCTCGTCGTGGGGGTAACCGGATAAGGCTTTAGTTTAATATCAGTTTATCCTTATATAATTCCAGTTTATGTACAATATGTAGGTACATAAATAACCTTTGCAATTTTCCAATTAATGGTTGAGTTGGGACTCCAGTTTGTGTACACGTACGTATTATAAATAATCAATGTAAATATGTTTGTATGATTAGTCGGCATTCCGAGCGAATGTTTTAAAATCAAATAAATAATTCTTTGAGCCGTTGCGTATGGCAAAAAATTCCACAGAAATTGTTTGTTTAAATTCTTTTCAAATATTTACTTGCAGGCAAGATGAAGTTTTACTTGTACTTGTTTCTGGAGCAACAATATGATATAGTATGACGATCTTGACAGAACTTGGAACTTATGGATGGAGTAGGTGTTGATGGAGCAAAGGGAAGCTGTCTATGAAGACAGAAAAGAAAACCTATGGATCCTACAGCAGGCAGATGATATAGCCATAGGTCAGGCTTACAATTAAAAGCTTTTAGAGACTCAACGCCAAAGTATTCTAAATCATATCTAAACATAATTCCGTAGATGGCAATTTTGGGTAGAGACCCAATCTTGCCCGCAATTTCTAAATGAAAATATTTATGGTTTGCAATATTTTCAGTAGAACGGGCGTTTACAAATTATATATTGAATTCTTTTGTACAAACTTTGAAAATATATATATATATTGAATCGAAACCTGGATGCAAAGATGTTTTGGAACCCAACCAGCGGAGTTTTACTTGGACTTGCAGTTCAGACTATAAAGATCTGTGACAAAATTATAATGAAGCCCGTGAGGACTTGAATCGCAACAATTTTGTGCTGGAGGTAGAAGTTGCTGCATTTTATTTGATATTATTATTAACTACTTACACAATTTGACGAATGCTTCGAAGCTTAGCTGCGTGTGTTTTTGTATCATGTCTCGTGATCCTCGACGACATCATGAGCCAGGTGCTCGAATTGCTCGGTAATCAATTGATGGGCTAGGCAATCGCCGCATAGATTTAGATAGCAATAGCAACTGTTGCAGTGCCAACGCTTTTGGGTGACGGCCGATTCCTCGCATTCGGCGCACTTGGGCGCCAGCGGATCGGGACTGTAGCCGTCCTCGGTTTGCAGCTTTTCGTCGCGTATGGCTGTTAATATTTTCAGCTGCAGTAGCTGCTTACGTTGCGTCTCCGATTCGAGCGCATCTGGCTCCAGCTTGGGTTCGATTTTAACTGCAGGCGGTGGCGGCGGAGACGGTGCAACGGGCATCAGGTCATCCAATGTGTACTCATCCTCTGGCATTTGTATTTGTATATTCTGGGCCGGAAAGAATGTGGAACGGCGCACGTTAAACTTGGGTCGTGTGGGGCCGCCCGCTCGCCTGTACTTGGGCAAGCGACCCGGCACAGGCATGCCGGCATCGTGGAGCTTCTGAAAGTACTTCTGGACACGGCTAAAAACTTGTTGCGCTGTTCGATTGCCCAAGGCTTTGGCGATTTTGCCAAAGCGCCGCATTTCCACCTCTTCCGGCGGATACTCGATGAGTAACTGTTCCAGGCGTAGTTGCTCCTCGTTCGTCCACAGACGCGTTTGCGTTTTGCTGCCATTCCTATTGTTCTTGTCCTCCTCCGTGGGCTGAGAATTGGGGGCTGGTGTCTCGGTTTTGAGCTCTTGCTTAACTGTTAATGTGGGCAACTCTGGCAGGCGAACGGGCGTTAAGTAATTGGGCGCTATCAGCGGCTCATTGTTGCGCAATCTGTCCAGCAACAGTTGCGGATTCTCCAGATACAAATCGCGCGCTTTCTCCAGCTCGTCTATTTGTTGATGGACGCGAATGCGCTGAGCCTGCAGCGTGGCAATGGTCCGCAGCAGATTGCCATAGCATTGATTCCCACGTAATGCCAAGTGCTCCGTCTCAAAGTGGAACACATCCTCGTTCTCGTCATCGCTTTCCGCGCTCTCGTCCCTAATGCTTTTTGTATCCGTTTCTTTTTGATTGTTGTCGTTTTCCATTTGTCTGCGCGTGCCGTGAATGGGAGCTAGAGATGAGCAACGCTCAAAGTAGCCGTGACTTAGATAGTGCAGCCGCAATAATCGATATTTTCTGTTTGGCGCCAATTCAATGTATTTAAAAAATAAGCAAATATTAAAATGCACTAAAATGTTTTCAATTTAAAATGGCGAATATAAGTTAAGAATATTCAATTATATTTAAAAAACATCGATTTTTATAATCGATCGCAACAACTCACAGCATTGTCGATAACAACTTATCGATGTTACTTTCAAATATTTAAATAACTGTATACTCTTTCCTTTAAAGACAATTATCTTGCTAAAGTCAATTGTAGTCTATGCTATAAAGATAAACATTTTTATATGGATTTTCATAATTTAGTGATATTTTTCAGAAAGTGTAGATAACTCTAGATCATTCTGATAAGCAACAGCTGTTGGCTTTGTTGAAGAAGAAGCACTGCACTCTACAAGTTGCACTTTATATATTTGCCATAATGCTTATACCACGATATTTGGCACGCCCTCTATTCCAGTGCTCCGCCACTGTAAGTCTGCTGCATAGCATCACTATGCTAATCCCACTATAAATCGAATACTTGCAGGGCAAGACTACGCGGCTGATGTCCCAGTTGTCAGCGGCGCCAGTGCGTATTGTGGAGGTGGGACCGCGCGATGGTCTGCAAAACGAGCCCAAGCTGCTGCCCGCTGCCACAAAAATCGAGCTTATAGATCGTCTGTCGGAGACCGGACTGCAAACAATTGAGGCCACCAGTTTTGTTAGCGCCAAATGGGTACCCCAGATGGGTGACAATGCGGAAGTGTTGCGCGGCATACGCCGGGTGCCTGGCATAAGTTATCCGGTTCTGACGCCCAATCTTAAAGGATTCGAGAGTGCTTTGGCGGCGGGCGCCGAAGAGGTGGCCGTTTTTGGAGCTGCCTCCGATGCCTTTTCGCTTAAAAATGTCAATTGTACGGCAGCAGAAGCTATCGAACGCTTTAAGCCTGTCCTTGCAGCCGCCAAGCAACATGGTGTTCGCGTGCGCGGCTACGTTTCGACTGTGGTGAGCATGGTTCTTAAAATAGTGATAGTTGTGCTCGAATACTAGCTACAGCTCTTACCTATCATCCAGGTGGGCTGTCCCTACGAGGGCGCTGTGCCGCCCAAGGCTGTGGTCCAGGTGGTGGCTGCACTGCACGATATGGGCTGCTATGAGATCTCGCTGGGAGACACCATTGGTGTGGGCACGCCGGGCAGCATGCGCAGAATGCTGGACGAGGTGACGCGCGCTGTGCCCGCACAGCAACTGGCCGTACACTGCCATGATACATACGGCCAGGCGTTGTCGAACATATTAACTTCACTGGAGTACGGAATACGTGTTGTGGACGCCTCTGTCTCCGGTCTGGGTGGCTGTCCCTATGCACGCGGCGCCTCCGGCAATGCAGCTACTGAAGATGTCGTCTATATGCTGCACGGCATGGGCATTAACACGGGCGTCAATCTGGACAAGCTCATTGAAGTGGGACGCTACATATGCACGGAATTGGGCAGAGCTTCCGAATCAAAGGTGAATCGTGCTTGGAAAGGACCTCAGGCTAAAAAGGCATAAGCATGGCTGAGCCCACAAAGTAATCGATGGCATTTACTAGTTAATAATTGTTGCCTGTGTTGTATCTTAGTGTGTATTTGTTATAAACTTAAAAACAAAACGTGATTCGCTTTATGAAATTGTTACGAATCCCATGTGAAAACCTTCTCTTGTTGCGTTTATCAATAATAATTAAAACTTTTGAGCATCCTTAAGTGTGTACAGCGAGATGTCGCCCGAGGCAAGCGATAGATCGGCTAGACTCTGATTGGGACGGCGTGGTATGTGCGATGTATTCCTGCTGCTGTTGCTCTGGGCGGGCATTTTCATCTTGCCATCGTGGCGCAGCACCGTTGGCTCCACAGCCGAATCCAGATACTTTTGTATTTTCGGCACATTCGGCATCGGCATTGGAGTGCGTTCATCCACGACCTGGTGGGAAAATATTTGTTATTATCAGACAATAATTGTGGATACATTTAGATGGTAAAATAATTGTCATTCCATATCAATTGGCTGCATGCCCGGAATGAATATTATATTAAGTCTGTTACTCACCTGCTTCAGCTCAGACGAAATGTATGCCTTCTTGGGCAGCAATCGAGCAGCAGGATCAATGCAGCCAGGAGTTAGCTTCGATAGGTTGCAATTGCCAGATGCAACTGTCTGTCCGCGCTTCAATTGGCACAGACGTGACTCCTCCTCCAATTCCTTGATGCTCATCTTGTTGAATACATCGTTGATGTTCGGCTTTTCCCGGAACATGCTCATTAGTGGGGCGGTGCCTGACTTTTGTGTATAGGTGCGTATAGGGCTAACGATGTGTGCAAAATGATCTCTTTGGACTTTCAATTCGCGTCGCATTGGTATGGCCGAAGGTTGCTTGAAGAACTTGGTTTTTGGCGGATCCATATTTATGGCATAGCGCGATTTGCAAGGGCCAGTTGGCAGCCTGGAGCTGGTGCCTTGGTGAAGCGGCGATGAGGCTCCTTTTTGTGGTGTCATCAAAAATGTATTCTGCTTGGGCAGTTTCTTATGCAAATGAATTACATCAGGATCTGACGTAGCTTTGGCTGGCGATGGCGATGGCGATGTCTCCTTGGCAGCCATATATTCACGTGCCTTTTGCATCATATACTCCATTTCCTCCATGGTGCCATTCAAATGTATTGACTTGTTCTCCTTGTCTTCTTCTTCGGCTTCTGAATCAATTAAGGAAGATTCCTCTTGTTTAATATCGGCATTGAGGTCGTTGCCCTCTTTCACCACCTGATCCTCGTCCTCCTCCTCCTCCTCGCCGGATGAAGACAACTCGATAATTGTGCTGTCAGCTGCATCGTTGACCGCCAGATCCATTAGTGTTTCATGCAAATCGCCCAAGAGTTCTTGCTGCTCGCCCTTGGACATGCCATGCGGCTTGGCCTTGGCAATGGCCGCATAAAACAAGTCATCGACGCTCAACGTTGTTGCCTCCTTTGAGCTGCTGGCCAGCGAATTGTCACCGGCCGTCTCGTAGCAGCTCGAACCAGAGGCAATTGTCTCACTGCTTTGAGCCGTTTTCAGGGTGTGTGCGGTCAGAAAGCTGCTGCTGTTGTGCGACGACGACTCATCGGATTGCAGGCCCGTCAGGTCGGCCTCGTTGGCCTCCAATATGGTTGAGGGTCGCAGCAAACCGACCATTTTCACAGGCGACGTTTGTGCGGTTTGCTGAAAAGCAGACTCGTTGCCATTGATTGTGAAATCATTATCCCACAAGCGAGATGGCGCCTCAATATCCTCCAGCTGCGTACACTCAGCACTCTTCAGTGGACTTTCGTTACACAGCTGATCCTGGTCACCGACATCGTCCAGCATGCGACGCAGAGCACTCATTTCCATGTCACTAGCTGCATAATGAACAAATAAATAAAAGTAAATAAATATTAGTAATATGGTTAGCTCGGGAATGCGGTGGGCGATGCCTTATTCTAGCTGACATACTCAAATACTGCTAATTTAGCTGCTTTTGAACATTGGACTCGGTCAGCAATTGACAACAGTTGTTACCAACAGTTCGTCTTATAAAATTATGCCCAAAAATTGATTTTAAATTTGTCGGAAAGTTGGCCCACCCAGACAGTGTACTCCTCGGCGTTGTCTTCCTACATGAGCTGCTTGTTGGCGACATAGATTCTACTTTTCTTTCTTTTAGGGCGTCTTCCTCTGTTCCGTCTAGACCAACCAGGAATTAGAGCCCCTTTATTCCTACCTACTATGCAGAATTCTATTCGTGCACTATGTCGCCAGCGAAGTTTCTCTAGCCCCAATAAAATCGATGCTATCAGGAGCTCACTGACCATTCCCAGATATGAGTAGGCGTATAGCTTGCCGGACAGGCTATACATACGTTTTTCCCACCGGGTCGATGATGCTATTAGATAATTGTGCATTATTCGCAATTAGACACTCGCTTTCTGATAAAGAACAAAATAAGTTAAGTATGCACTCACCATTATCCGCACGAGTGCTGCGCTCCTTGGCCAAGGCCAACACCTTCTCCTTATCGTCGCTGTTCAGGTATTGAAAGAGGGTGCTATCAGGATCGGAGCCGGTTTTATCGCACATGCGTTCGAGTGCATCGAAACTCTCGTCGGCATTTTGTTGCTGCGTTTCGTTGAGGACATGGAGCATGGTTTCGGTTTTGACGCTTAGACTTATGGCCGAGCTGGTTGTGTGATTCTCGTGCTGCTGCCGATCCTCCAGCTGGGCCTTGCGTGCCTGCATCAATGCCTTAAAGTCCAGGACAATGTCTAAGCTGTGGCGGCGCTCCATTGATTCTCGTTGGGGTTTCGGTGCGGCAGGTGCTGGCCTTATAGATGCGAGAGAAAATTTAAATAATCAATCTATTTTTAACGCATATGTTTATGTGCCTGACACTACGCTAAATGAAGAGTTGTTTTTGTTGTCACATGCAGAGTAATTCAAAATAATTCATGCTACACTCGAGCTACCTTATGTCCACTCTACAGTTATTAACAGTTATTTATCTATTTACCGATCCAGAAGCAAATGCTTAAGCAATTTCTGACGCCAAGCCGGAGTGTCTTGAAATTTTTCCAGGCCAGACATATTGACTGTGTCCTTCTTTTACTTATAATTACACAAAAACTAGGACTTCACACACCGTATACAAATGTTCTTATTTTGCAATGCCAAACACACACAATTTGCGTGTTAAGTTACTCACTTGGAAAACAAAAAAAATATGTAATTAGGTAAAGGACAAATTTTGCAGCCACTTCTGTTCAAATGACTTGATCATACACGAGTAAGTATCGACGCGCTGCAAATGGTCGGGTAATTTTAAAATCGATACTTTTACTTTTTGGCGCCAGGGCTGCACAAATGCGAACAACAATTGAAAGTGTAAAAGAAAGTAAAAACAATTTATTTCATGCATTCAATTA